AAGATCATTTTAATGTCCATCAATACTCTAAATGTTCGACATAACCAGAGGCAACATCATAACATATCATTACGAAAGAGGTTACTACGGTTCTTGATATCGGAGACGACAGTTGCGTCGTGGTTGCTGAACAAAATAAATAAATAAAAAAACCTGTTTGTAACCCAAATGCATTAATTTCCTAATTGAGCATTCCGATTTGGGATATTCCAAATTCGCATTTCGGACATTAACGTAAAAAATTCTCATAATTTACGTTTCACAACAAATGATCACTAAACTATTAATATTTACTAAATCCGGAAATTCCTATTAGTAACGATCAAAATTCTTTCATGATCGGCATATAAATGTGAAATTATCCAATAATAAATATATCTTTATTTGGTACTATTGTTATCACATTCCCAGATAGTATAAAAAGATCTCAAGAATGATTCTCTTGAGTAAATATTTGAGTAACTAAAAAAAAAAAAATAATCATTAAGATGGAAGTTATAACAGCAATTTTTGTATGCTTCCTGGCAATTTTGATCTATCTCTTGATAAAATATCCGGATAGATGTATTGGTACAAAACCAAGGACAGATCTTAATGGTCCAAAGGTTATCCACTCATTGGAAATATGTTAGATATTCACAAAGGTAATAAAGGTCTCCTTGCGTAGGGTTATCACAATTAATAATCCCGAATGCATCGAACACGTTATGAATAGTAAGTTGACGAAATTATGATTTTATCTGGAGGCCTCATCTGAGGCATAAATTATATGAATTTAATTTACTTTTTATAATAAATGTAAATGTACAGCGAATTTTGAGAACTATCATAAATCGCCAATCTTACAAAGTATTCTTTATGATGTCTTGGGAGATGGAATTTTCAATACTAATGGGTAAAAAATTGACCTTTTTTCTTTTCTTGTTACACTTAATTTCTTAACATTTTTGAAACATTTTTGTTGATCTCCTAACTTAGTAACGCATGGAAAATGCAAAGAAAATTATCAAGTAATTTATTTAACGGCAGAAATTTTCGTGAGATTATTAGCGTCGTGTTTAAAGAAGAAACCGAGATCGTATTAAATACCTTGGATAAATTAGCAAAGACTGGTGACACGTTTGATTTACAAGATTTATTTTTTAGGTTTACAATGGATTCTTTCGGAAAGTAAGCCTTTTTTTTAAAAAAAAAAAAATAAAAATAAAAAAAAAGTTCATTTATAAAATTTAATATTACAGAATTACATTCGGATTGGACTTTAAATGCTTGGAAAATCCAAAAGAACCAGTAAAATTTGCAACGGCATTCGATTTGGTGCAAAGAGTAATGGACGATCGAATCTCAAATCCTTTTTGGAAATTCACAGAATTATTTACAGAAGATGGTCGTAAAGTGCGCGTGAAGCATGTGATTATTTAACAACTTTTGCTTATGATATAATTAAAAACCATAGGAAAAATCCGGAAGCATTAAATGACTCCAGAGATATCCTTAATATATTTATGAACGCACAACATGATAACGGAGAAAAATTGTCCGATAAGGAATTAAGAGATGTTGTATTAAATTTTATCATTGCTGGTACGTCTTTCATAGTAGTATGTGTATTTATTTATTATTACCCTTGTTATTAATCTTAATCTTGCATAATTTAGGACGTGACACAACTGCACAAGTAATAATGCTTTGGCGTTCAACACTTCTTAAATATTTATATAAAGTATAACTAATTTTGTATGGTATCTTTTTATTTTAGGCGCTCTCGTGGATGATATATAATCTTATGGTCGACCCTTCCGTTGAAGAAAAATTAGTTAAGGAAGCTAATTCTTTGCTCACGCCAGAAAATCCAATTTCAAGTTATGACAATACAAAACGTTTTCAATATACGCTGGCGGTATTTTACGAAACGCTTCGATTACATCCTGTAGTACCGAAAAATTTGAAGGTATTTACCGAGAAAAAAAAATTATGTAAAGTTTTATGCATGTTTTTAGCAGGACAAAATTTTAATAGATGCTCTTTTTTTTTTTTTTTTTTTTTAATAGATATGTCTTAAAGATGATGTGCTTCCCAATGGCGTACCAATTTATGCCGGTGAGATTGTTAATTGGTCATGGGAAGAGATGAAAGGATATGGGGGAGTGATGCAAAGCAATTTAACCCCGAAAGATTTTTAACTTCTGAAGATGGATTGAAGCCAAGTCAATATAAATTTAATAGTTTTAATTCTGGACCAAGATTATGGTATGTAGAATAAACTTTTTTTTTTTAAAAAAAAAAATATTTATTATTAACTTTTTGTTTATATTAATAATTGGATAGTCTTGGGCAAAATTTTGCCACAGTTGAAGCCATAATGTTAGCGACGGTTGTATTAAGACAATTTAAATTTGAATGGTACCGGGACAAAAATGTCCTCCTGATTATGGTCATTCTGTAACTTTACCAATGAAGGACCCTTTACTAGTTAAAGTTCATTATAGAGAATGATTATTCAAAATTAAATAAATGCAAACAAATTTTATTTCGAATTTTTTTTCTTTCTTATTTTGTAAACAAGTATAGTTAATTTCCTACGCAGAGATTTTAAGTAAAACAAAATTAAGATTCGGAGATAATTATCTAGTTTTCGCAAAGTTTGTGTTACCAACGGCGACTAGTTCAAAGTTACACCAGACTTATATATCAATTTGTAGTAATTATATCCCCTTTCTCACAATAAATTTCATGATCCAAAAAAAAACTTTAATACGTGCGATTTTCTCGTAAAAGGCTATATAGATTAAGATAAAATTTAAAGCAATGATAGGGCTGAAAAAATGCAAAAACAATTTATTGATCTTAGTTTTTTTTTGTGATTATAAAAAAAAAATAAAAATAAAAATAAATTGTTTGAAATTCATCGTTAATTATGAACATTCTTATTTTCCTTTAGTAAATTTATAAATTATTTGATAACACTGCTAACATATTTTTGAATTCAAATAACAAATACTGCGCTTATGAATTATTTGGACAAAAACTGAAACTAGACAATGATGATCCAGAATGTTTACAAGGAAGGACCTTGATATTGTTAATGTGTCATATACTTTCCATTATATATTATGTTAAAATTTTCATATATGAGATGCATGAACTTGCCACTGTAATGGAAAATTGGTACTTCAATTGATATAATAGGTCGATTGAGTTTTTTTTCTCGGGCGGTTCTTGTTCTAATTGTGCGTAAAGGGGAAAATCAATAATAATAGGAATAAGTAAATAAAATCATTAAGTAAAAAAAAAATTATGATATAATTTAGTATAAAAACAATGCTAGCGCGTCACGAAAACTGTTGACCTATAATCGGTTAAAAAAAGCAAAGTTAATAATAAAAGGCGTGTTACACAGCACAGAAATTGGAATCCAAGTATTCAAGTTTCGCAAGTATTGAATGAATCATGTTTTAAATCATTTTAGTAGAGGAAATAAACTTTTGAGTGAATTTATTGAAACATGTCAAAAAATCGATAGTGAGATTAATAAGCTCTTTAGAGAAATCGTCTAATTCTGGTATGATATTTTTTAACATTTATGAAATAAAATAAAAAATCAAGTAATAATACTTTTGATAAGTGAGAGGAAGTAAAAAGACGAAAAATTCTTATATTCTGAAATAATATTGGAATGTCGGATTGATATTATTATACGTAAGTCACATATTTAGGCTGTTATCTCGCTCGATATTACGTTGCCTACCGCAGCTTCAAATTAGAAATTCTTTCAATAAATCAGATCTGAAATGTTATTTAAATTTGAATAAAAAATTATGACAAACGATCTTGTATTTACAACTATACGAAAATGTTTGATTTTCCGACACACCACTCCACACGAATCAAATAATCTGAACCAAAGTCTAACATAACCTTTTATTCAATACAAAAAATGCTAAAATAAATAAATAAGACGAAATTAAAGAATATTTTATATATTCTAGAAGTTCGAAAAAGACAAATCTAGTTGTATATAAAAACTTATTAAGTGATATCATTTAATTCAATCAAATTTTCCATTTCCTTCTTTGAAAATATATGTCGTTAAATACTTTTGGAAAATTTGGGTGAGATTTATAGATTAAAAGGGATCCATCTTAGGAGGATTATTATCGATTTCATTACCTTTATCCAATTTCTGTCGAACATAATCTATTTTCAAAAAAATTAATGTCGATATCCATTAATTTCATTAATTTCAGGTTAACATACCATAACTATAGTTTTATAATAATTGAAAGTTATAACCAACAATATAACTTAATTGGAAGTGTATATTACAATCCAGCCTTTTACAATAATTTCAGATAACTATTCATAATTTAATTGATATATTACTGATCATCTATCTATCATCTATCTATAAATAAACATAGATGTTTCAATTTAAAAACGATAAATATTTTAAGATTACGCATACAGTATCAAACGTTTCAACAATAAACTCCACAGAAAAATCTTTAGTCAATAACTCATTAACTTGTAGTCTCAAACAAACATACAAATTACTGAAGTTCAAATTTGGGCAAAACAATAGAAATTACTTGATCTTCAAAAGATAACACTTCGCCAGACAAACTTAGATTCATGTAAATATTAGTTTGTGTTACAATACAATCCATTTGTACATAGGAATAAATTACTTGATACCGATGAAATTCACTATTCAAATTTTATAAGAATTGAAAGAAAATAGATTCGTATTCTTGCAATTCGGAAAATAAAAATTTTAATAAGCGGTTTTATTGGTCGAGTCAGATGAGCAAAAATCTGTCAAAAAACCGCAGCAAAATAATGATCCAAAAAATTCACGACGACGAAAAATACACCAAAACAATCTTCGGAAAATCGTCAAAATAAACAAGCTCCAGATCAAAAACGTCGCGATGATCATTCACAAAAACAAGCTTCGGAACAGCATCAAGATAAGCAAGCTCAGGCAGCTAATAACGACCATGCGTAAAACAAACTTCGGTTCAGCGTCAAGAGGTGCGTCAAGAGGTGCAAGCTCAAGCAACTAATAAGGAACAAACAAATCACGACGAACATGCACAAACAAAAGCTACGGTTCAACGTCAAGAGGTGCAAGATCAAGTAGTTAACAAAGATCAACGACATGGCGATGATCATAAAACAAAAAACATAGCGGACCAGCAGCGAAAAGATATTCAAGCTCAAATAACAGCACAACCACTTGGACAAACCAATATTCCGGGACAACCAAATCAAAAATTTCCTGTTCAAATTCCAGCAAACATGAATTCAATGCAATTTTGTCAACAGTTTGGCGTTCCAAGTACAAATCAAGCTTTAGACGCTAGTGCTTTTGCAGCTTTGCAAGCGCAAGCTATCGCACAACAAGATATTTCACAAATTACGTCAACACAACAACCGTTACAAATGCCTACAAATTTCATTGGAGTTGCATCGCAACAAGTACATCAACCAGCTGCACCCGATTTTTCAGCGCAAGTTCCGATGCCTACTGTGAATCCAGTAACCACTTTATCTAACGACGTTCTGCAAGCCAATATGATTGCGGCTGGCGGAGGGAGTGTACTTTTAACGCTACTGGTAGAGATTCAGAACCAAGAGGCATTGTACTAAATGAATTTGGACCTTCTACAATGGAAATGGATTAAATAAATTACATAGCTATTAACATTTCATAAAGTGAACTGAAATAAAAAAATTTTCTTTTTATTATATAAACGAGGTCCATTATAAAGATATTGAGTATAATCTATGATATGTTTAACTTCAGTCATTTTTTTGGACGCAAAATGAATTTCAAAGTCGTCTAGAAATAGAAAATATAAAGAGAAAAATAACATCAATTTTTAAAAAATCTTACGTTTGACTAAATATCTATTAGTCTTATTTATTATACACTAAGAAACTTGAAAGGAAGATGACGTATGTTGTTTAACATATAAAAAATATTATTATGCAATGAATTAATAATTAGACATGAAAAATAAATGAAATTGTTTCGCTTCGGATGATCACGTGATTTTGAAAATCACCATATCTATGAACATATTAATTCATATGATCCGTAACATGACATGATTTTTAAAAGCTATTTTTGTTACATTTGCGTGACCGGTCCTAATTAATAAAACTTACAAGTTTAATTTTAATGTATAAAAATAAATGAACCAATTATTAAAAAACAATGCTAATAAAACTTTGGTTATTTTAAGATTATATTTGATTAACTTAATTCAATATTTTCTAAAATAAATTATTCATTGAAAGACTTTTCTTCACAAGTAGATACTATATATATGTGAATATAAAATAAAACGTGTAAATTAGAAATAAATTCAGGCCATTCTGTAAATACATTATCGTCAGTTTTAACGTGTTTTCTATATTAACGAAAGTTTAATTTCAATAAAATAATCTGTTAGTTGTTACGTAGTCAGTAATATGTATAAATAAAAGTTCTTACTTTACTATTAACTTGAGAGTTGATTTATGAGTTCCACTTTGATGCCGAGTATTTGAAGTGTGTATTGCGCATCCCAATTACTACAAAGATTTGGTTTCGGGATATTGCGTATTCGAGTTGAATAAGTATTCAAAAAAAGAAGACCTAGTCAAGAAATTTTAATTTATTTCTTTTTAGCTGCTGGGCGATTGATTATCTTCGCTAGATAATTATTTCAATTTTTTTTCGTTCAATTCTTTTTTTAAATTAAAAAAAAAATATAAAATAAAAAAACAATTTCTTTAAATATTGTTTGAAATTTGTATATATTAATTTCAATTTAATTGGTCTTTGCATTATAGTGATCTGATATTTGAGGATTGGTAAAGGCTCGTTATTGTTAACAGACTCCCTTGAGATGGGTGGAACCTCAACTCCGAAATGTTTCCGCTTTTTTTTTTACTTTCATAAAAACATTCAATTTCTAAATCAGTTTATAATGACTCAATTTAATAAAGTAAAACATTTTATCTGAAACCCCTTGTTCAATATTCTTTCTTTATATAAAAATATGAGGAGAATTCAAATTATGACGGGGCTTAATTAAAGTAGTTAAAGAAGAATTGATCACATGCCTTTTGTTTATAATTTGAGATATTTTTATTTTCCATATGTTTTTTATTATGGAACTAAATCGCCCCCGTTATTTTTATTTTTATTTTTTACCTTGTTTTTAATTTTTTTTACTTTCAAAAAAAAAATAAAAAAGATCACATTCTAAAGGAGGGCGGACGAATCATCAACGTTTTAGTATGAGGCTTAAAAGGTTTCTTTGTTATGAAATCAATTAAATTTATTCTTGCAGCAAAGTTTTTTTTTTTTTTTTTACTAATTAACTAATTATTCTTGAAGTTAATGATGTTGCTTTAAATTTCTGATTCTAAAAAAAAACTTTAAATTTTTGATTGGATGAACCACCACATGATGCTAAACTTAAATTTGTTGGCTAATTTACAATTAAAGTAATTTATTTGACCGAAATAAGGATATTATGTCCATTCCCTAACTTTAACGTTAATACAAAAATAAGATTAGAATTGGTAGGTGTATTTTAAAATTCGTTTTGCTCTTTTGATGACATAAGAGCAATAGGTATATACTGTCCGGGTGTGTATGTCTATTTTGCTATGTTATCTATGACAAATCTTTTATTTCCTTTTATTTCTTTCATTCATTTTATTTAATTTTCGTCACTTTCTTGCTTACATACCTATAATTTATGCCGAATCTTTAAGTTTTCAAATATTAGATTAACCAGCCGCGAGTAAATGGGTTGTCGTTATCATTTTATGCACATGATTTCTTAATTTTTTTTTATTTCTCTCGTTCATTTTATTTAATCTCGTAGTTTTCTTGCTTACAAACCCATAGATTATTTTATTTTTAGTTTTGCGACGGATGTTGGGTTTTTTAGACTGGACTGGTACAAATATGAGGATGTGTTTTACGACTCAGCATATCTCATTACATTATCTTACACCGACAAGCATAATCAAGTGCTAACGAACAAGTTGGAATAGTAATTCAATTCATTGATCATTCTGTCAAGTAAAACAATTTTTAAACACCCTATTTTTTAATCGCGGAATTTTTTATTTTGATAATAATAATAATAAAAAAAAAAAAAAATAAATAAAAAAAATAATAACCTACAGGTCCATAGTTCACGATCTTATCATTGATCTTATATTTTAATATTAAAAAATTTACGAATTCTTTATTTATGGGAGCGTTTTCAAAAGTTAAATAAAATAGTTTGAAAGGGAAAGTTTATTCTACAAATCTAAAACTCGAAATAACGTTGAGTAAGTTAAGCCTCATGTGTGATTTTCTTGAAACCTGATATTATTCGATTCGATATTTTTATGAAAAATTATGATTATTTGATCTTATAATTCTTAGAAATTCTCAAATTGTATCCGAATAGAAAGAAGTTATTTCATACTTTTGAGATAATGGAATGCAAGCCGGACTAGTATTACAACCCTGGTCTTGAATGCATTTTCGTGTAGTGGTGTGCCACAGAGATTGTGAAGTAATTTATTAAATCTAGATATATAACCTCTTGTGACCTTTGTATACAATAATTGTGACTTTTCTCGAGCATATATCACGCATATCATTATTCAAATGAAAAGTTTGAGCACATTAATTTCATGGATTTAAGGAATATCTGATGCGTATATAGCAAGTCCATACCAGCATGTAAACATGGATTTAAAGAAATAGTTGGAATCATACGTTTTTGGCTGGAAGTTGCGATTCTTATCCCTTAAATCACAATGAATTAATAATGATTAATCATTCCCTTAAGTATTCAACTTCGATGAGTATGTTCAAATGTGTATCATCATATATACGCTCTTTGCATACCTTTTATCAACATTTAACCTAAATATAAAAAATTATAAATAATTGAGTCGATAAATAAGTTTTTATATAAAAATTTTCGTAAATTTACGGATTCGATGAAATTAAACAAAAGCAACCAAATTCATATGTAGTTTATGAATCGATAGATATTTTTGATAAAGACTATTCAACTGATTTTGAAGTCATGGTAAGTACGGATAAGGGTAAACTTGTGATCTCTCCATTTCAGATGGACGTCCTTGAATCAATGAAAAGGTTAAAGAGACACATATGTTCTTTTTCACAATATGTTGCACTCGTTTTACTTTAACGCAAAGGGTTGTTGTACCCCAAATGCGTTGATGTCCGAAATCCGCATTTTGGATATCCCAAATGCGCATTTCGGACATTAACGCATTTGGGGTACAACATATCCTTTTAACTGAAAAAAAAATGTATTAGAAATCTAAACGAATCTTGATGTTTTAAAACTCGCCAATTTTAAACTTACTGAAATATATCAGGAGAATTTCTAGAATCAATCTTTGATGTAAATGATTCCAGTTTTGCAGATATAATTATGTTACCTAGAAATTTAAAATACCGAAAAAAAAAATTTATTCCAATATATATTATGAAAACCGATCGAGAATTAATGATATATAATCCATATATCGGCTAGTATGAATAGCTAGAAGTTTATCTGATAAAGAAATTAATTCTTTATTTTATAAATAATTATCTCGGAGATTCTTGAAAATTAAAGTTTGCACGTAACAATTCAGCCATATCATGGCACGAAATTTCACATGATATATTTCTGTCTTCAGTGTCACATCCCTTGGCGTTTCGTTTTTTCTGGTAACAGAGTTCAATAGTGAAAATATTCTATTCACGTCTTATCCGTCACAATTAATTATAGCCGATTACGCTTATTTCTATAAGGAATGCTCATTTTTTTACAATATCTCTTTTATTTAGCTTAGTTATCATGTCAAAAATCAGAGACGCAAAATGAAGAATGTATAAATATATTAGAAATGATCATTGATAAATTATTCATGCATTTGATTAATATGCAAGCTAACGAAACGAAGAATTTGATAAGCTAAACTTTATTTGATTTTCAGAAAGCAGCAGCTAACTTTATTTGGTAAGACAAGAAGCGGTTAGATCCATTTTTAAGACTAGATTATTTATGAAAAAAATTACAGTAGGAAAAATTTTAAGCCGAGGGATGAGTAATTTGCATGAAATAAACACTCATAGTCCGAACAAAATTTATATTTAAAATGTTTTAACCCGAGGGCTGAGCAAAAAGAGGTGCAAGAAAAGCAATAAAACTCATCGAAATAATCATCCGAAAAAATTAAATAAAAAAAAAAAATTTAATCAAAATGGTTTTAAAGAATAATTTGGAAAAATCCTTAAAAGACTTGGAAATGAGAGTTAAGGAGTTAGAGCAAAGTAACGAAGGGTTACGTTCACAATTCAAATATTTAGAAGAAAAGGTTGGAGAACGAGAAGAAGAAACCAAGGCCAATATTAATAATTTGGAAGAAAAGTTTAGAGAACGAGAAGAAACCAAAAGAATTATTAAATATTTAGAAGAAAAGGTTAAAGAAGAGACCAAAGCCAAGCAAGTAATTATTAATAATTTAGAAGAAAAGGTTAGAGTACGAGAAGAAGTATCCAAAGAAAAACAAAAATTATTAATGAATTAGAAAAGAGAATCAAGAATCTTGAATTAATTATTTACGATGATACTATTAATAGTTTGACTATTACAGATACTAAGGATGACATATTGAACACCTTTTTCGGATTGCAAAGATATCGAAAATTGACAAAATTGGATTGTAGTAATTCTCAAATAACTATCCTACCAACATTACCCAACTCCTTAACGAAACTTGATTGTTCTTTTACTCCAATAACTATCCTACAAACATTACCCATCTCCTTAACGGAACCTGATTGCTCTAATACTCCAATAACTATCCTACCAACATTACCCGGAACTTGATTGTTTTGTTACTCCAATAACTATCCTACCAACCTTACCCAACTCCTTAACACAACTTAATTGCACTGGTACTCCAATAACTATCCTACCAACAATACCCAGTAGAAGGTTTAATTAATAAGTTCGAAATTAAACATTTATTATCCACGCTGTACCATCCTCAAACTAATGGATTAGTTGAGCAATTCAACAAGACTCTATGTGAATCTATAGTGAAAGTAACAAAGAATTTACAAGAATAGGATAACGCTGTAAACTCTGTTCTGTTTGCTTATCGAACTGTGAAAAATTCTACTACAAATTTCACACCATTTTACTTGATCTATGGAAGAGAAGCAAGATTGCCAATTACCGCTCTTAAAAATGAAACTTTGGAAATAAATTTGGAAAGCTTAAAAGAAAATAGGCAACAAGCAATAGAAAACATGACAAAAGTACAAAAAAAGCAAAAGAAGCAACATGATTCAAAAATCAAACGACCAACTGAATTTAAAATTGAAAACAAAGTTTTCTTATACGATGCAGCTAAAGAAAAAACTTGGACTAGAAAATTAGAAGAAAAATGGAAAGGACCATTTTATATTCATGACATACTATTTAATGAAGCGTACAAATTAAGATCTACCTAAGGATGAATTCTTAGAAAACCAATTAATACAAGTTTACAGAAATCTATTATGATCGATAAAATTGGAACCTATGATCTATTTTGAATAAACAAATTAGAAAATATAAAAGGATGCCAATTGGACCTTGAACTTCAATTTTCTTGAAAATGTTTGAAAAATTTCCAACAAATGAGTCACTTTGTAAGAAAATATTAATGAGATATCGAAAATGTTGAAAAGAAAAGGCTAATAATGTGTTAAAAGAAAATGATATCAAACTTCTTTTGATAATTATCAACCTTTAGAAGAAGACTAAATCAGACCAATTGATAAACCTAATGAATGAAATCTATCAGGAAGAAGAATCTGTAAAAATTGAAATTCCTGAAGAATTCTTACAAAAAAGAAAAACACAAAGGGAATATAGGTTGATTGCTAAAAAAATCAGATTCTGGGAATTTTTTAACAAAATTGAGATTTTTATTGCATTTTAGTTTTGATGTTATTAGATTAAAATGTATTAAGCTCTTAATTTAAGTCAAAAATTTCTCAGAATCTGATTTTCCTAGAAACCCTTCCATATACTTAAGAACTAAGAATTACCCCTACAGCCTTATTTAAGAAAATTAAAAGAAGAAAGAAAATTCTTTGACAAAGCTCAAATCAAAGAAGAGGGAAATATAACAAGTAAAATTTTAGATAGATTTAATTGGTAGAATATGAAGTCAATTTTATTGTCATGTAGATCTTTTATGAAGATTATTTTATTCATTTTATTGCTATCGATCAATTATACAAATCTTTAGATGTCAATTTTATTGCCCTTGATAATCACATAGATCATAGATATCCATTTAGTTGCCTGCAGATCTGGCAAATTTATTGACATAGAAACTTTATTGCTTAGTGAAATGGCAATTTTATTTCTTTTGATATATTTAGTTTATTATTTATTCAACATGTATAAATATCTCTGTATTTTTTGAATTTTAGCACTAACAAGATGTTAATCTTTTAGATACCAAACTTATATTATATTAATAAAGAAGTATAATTAACTAAGTATAAAACTTATCCATTGCAAATCTTTTAAAATTGTTGTAAATTACCTGTGATCCTTTGCATTTGTGTAATCCCTTTAATTATTGTTAGTAAACTTATTATATAATATTGTATTAATTTGCAGTATTGACTCAGAGTCTCTGAAGCGTAATATCTGAAATATCTTTGAATTATTTATGTGTTTATTTTGTGTTTATCTCACATGTTTATATTAAGAATAATTCTTTGACATTATTGTGAATCTTCACTCATGATTCTTTGAGTAATTGTCTTAGTTTTATTTACCTTTATAAGATTTTATCTGATTACAAAACCATCATAACACTGGCCTTTTTTTATATAAATTTTTTTATATGTATTTTATATTATGTTTTATATTATGCAAATATTACACAAATATTATACAAATAAAATTAAATTGTTAAATCCATCTGTAAATCTCTTATTATCTATCTATATACACTTTCTTTTAAAAAATTTTTTTTTTTAAAAAAAAAATATACTAATAATAATTATACATATTGTGTTTAATTCTAAAACAGTATTTGAGTAAAAAGAACTTTCTGTTAATGAAGATATAAATATAAAAGAGTTTTTTAAAGATGTAATAGTTTATAAATTAAAGCTAAATCTATGGAAAAAATTGTGTAGCATATTTTAATCATACAAAAATAGGTGAAATGGAAAAAATAGGATTAGAAGACAATATTTGGAAAACTATTAAATAATGTGAAAAATATGTAACATTTAAATTACTTGAGTACTCTAATAATATACCAGCTACAAATACAATTAATGCATTTGAATTAATGAGATCTGCATCAATGCTTAATTATCTTTTTGAATTTAAATTACCAGCGAAAAATTCTTGAAAGTAGCTATACATAGTTTTAAATAAATTGATTAAAAATAATGAAGGTAGCTAGATAGAAAAGATAATGCAAATAGTATTAGAAAAAGATTTATTTGTGATTTAATAAAATTTATTTAGTATGTGGATATTTGTTCTTATAAAACATTAAATGATAGATTTAAAATTCCAACTTTATTTACTGATTTTTTTGATCAAGCTCATCCTAAAAGATACAAAAAATCAAAAAGATTTTTTAATTCAAAAGAATTGCAAAATTATTATAAAATCTTAATAATTTATATTGAATTACCATGGATGGAAAAGCCCAAATTTACTTGGCTAAAAGAACATTTATTACTTTATGCAAATAATCTTTTAAAGTATGCTAAATATTTGTATATTTTCCAATCAGAAAAGCTATGCTTAATTTTTTAATAAACCTAAATATTTGCCTAATTAAAAATAAATGCATTTATTTATTATTAGTTTATTAGAAGTTTAATATAATAAAATATAAATCTTACTTTCGTGATTCTAAATAGAATTGGTTAATATTAACAGATTTCTAATATTCTAATGCCTCTAAGATTTTTGTAAGAATGTGATATTCTTTAACAATTTCAGGTCTTCTCCATATATTTTCATTCAAAATTTCAATATATCCTGCTTTTCCTTTATCAACTATAGGAGTTAATAAATTTTGGTTTTGTGCAGTTATTATTTTTAGCTAATTATATCATTATGAAAATATACAGAATTCAGTTTATATTTGGCGTATTAAT